ATTATTAACTGTTAAATATCAATTATAAATTATTAACTAGATTTATATAGCTAATCAAATGCTCACTTAATTCTTTTAGTCCAACACTATTCAGATTTCAAATTGTAAAATCCCATCCTCATTCTTCCCCCCCACCCCAAAAAAAAAAAAGAAAAAAAGATGGTGGGTCAATTATTTATACTGGCATTAATTAATTCTCTATTAGATATGGCAAACAACACACTCGTGCCAATAGTAGTAATGGGTCATCTTTTATTTTCACTGAGATTGATCAGAATCCCACTCGACCGGCCCCCCTACCGCATCTAATCTACTCCTTATCAACTAAATAACGTACCTCCGCTAAGTGTGGACCAACTCCAGCAAAATAGTAATGGCTATTCTTCTCAATAATTAATAGCATACAAAATTCATAAAAAACAGCGGCGCATTGCTACTGTAATGTTTCACCTTGATCCACAAGCATTTATATATCCTGCTGTAATGTTTCACCCTCGATCTCATCTTTTGATGCCGGCGTCGCCGACCTGTGTACGTAGGCTCCACCGTTAAAAGGCAACGGTAAAAAGGAATGAACATACATGATGAAGCTATTGACCCTAAATCCCTTGATTATCATCACCTCAACTATATATGTTCAAAAAAGTACGTTGACCCAAACATAATATTCTCAATCGGTGCATTTTTTTACTGCTTTTTCAAAAAAAGAATGTTATATATCTTTTTCCCACCGTCCAAGCAAAAACAGATGGGCAGCCTACACTCCAACATAAGCCACAGTATTTTGTAATTTTTCTTACGCCAAAGGAAAGGAATCTTGTGTCGGTTGTTACCGGCTAAGGAAACCCTCAAGAAACCACAACCCCAATTCCCTAATTTATACTCTTGGATTTTCGGTTTTTTGTTTCAAATTGTTCAAAAAGAGATTAGTACTTAGTTTTTGCATGCGAAGGTTTCAATCTCGGGCCGTAGAATGGGCAATTGTGTGATGAAAGGATTTGGAAAAGTTGAAGAAATGGTAAAAGTGATGACATGTAGCGGCGGCGTCATGGAGCTGTACACGCCCATCACGGCGGAGTGCATAACCAACGAGTTCCCCGGCCACGCCATCTACCGCAGCCGCGACAATATCTTCTCTCCTCCGCTCCTCCACACCGAGCAGCTCCACGCAGGTCAGCTGTACTATCTCCTCCCAATAAACAACACCTTCCAAAAGCAAAACAATCAAGATGGTGGCGTATTAGGGACTCCGTACCGGGTGTCATTGGATAGTCAAAGGGTGATGAAGAGAGCCGAGGCGGAGGTCCTGCCGAGGTATAATGGGAGTGGGGTGTGGAAGGTGAAGCTGGTGATAAATCCGGAACAGCTGGCGGATATACTGGCGCAGGAGGCCCGGACGGAGGAGTTGATAGAAAGCGTGAGGACGGTGGCAAAGTGCGGCAGCGGGGTGTCGTCGGTGGGGAATTCTGATAAGTGGAGCGTGTCAAGTAGTTGGAAGGGATCATTTAGTAGGAAGGGAGAAGAAACTAATTAGAATATATTAGTGTATTATTTTTATTTGCCTTCCATTTTCTATTACAGTAATTTGTTTAATATTATTATCTATCATTTTAGATCAAAATAAATTATATTCTCTTATAGGAGTAGCTTCTAGCTTCTTCCCCCACCCCCACCCCCCCCTTCGCCCCTTTTTTTTCTAATTAAAAGGGGCATTCCTTTCTACTTTCAAGCCAATGGAATGTGGTCTAGTGTAATTAATTTTTTTTTAACAAGTACAATTTAAAAAATAAGAGATGAAAAATTTTAATATAATAGTAATATAACTCAAATTTTAATTGTTATTATGATATTTGATACAACTAACAATTAATTCATGGAAGTGGGTGCTTTTTGTGTAATTAATTAAGAAAATTAGAAATGTAAGGGCGCAATATTGTTCATTATGGTCAGCTTCATATATTTTCTGTTGTAATGTAATTAAGGTTTATTCTCTTTATCTCAAAATATTATTTTTTTGAACATAAAATTTGTTTAAAATTAATTATTATTTCTTAATTTTTAAATAAAATACAGTTATTTTGAGAAATAATTGTAAGATTTAGTTTATCACGACCGCTGCCTGCGGTAAGTGGCAAGAGACAGCCTACCTTAGTAGTGAACATTGGCCTTTTGGGGTCAAAATCCAAACTTGATACAAACCAAGCCTTTTGGGCTAATTGGTTCAACCCCTGAGTCAAAGAGCTTCGAGCATAAGACAATCGTGTGTAGTGAATTACCCATTTTCCCCCAAAGCGCCCCCATGTTTAAAAGGAAATAATAATAATAAAAAATAAATAAATAAATAATCAAACTTCAAACCTTTACTCTCCTATTTCTCTTTCCCACAGTTAAAATGAGTATATTACTTTAGGGGAAAAAAAAAGACCAAAACAAATTTAGTTTATTATTTTTTTGAAATTCAACAAAGTAAGAAATTAAATGCAAAAATTAATAAATAAATAAAAAAAGATGAATGATGGATCTGATTGAATCGAATTTCTGTCATTATTTCTAGTCCTAATTGTTGTGCTGAAGCCCACAATCACTGAGCTTTGAATTGTGAACAAATAAAAATGGAACTCAAAGGAAGCGCGATTGCACAGTGCAATGGTAAGGAAAGGGTAATAAATAATGGGCCATACTTCTGCAGAAGCTGCAGCAAAACAACAGGATCAAAATCCAGTCTCACTCATCCTCCTGTCTCCCTCTCTGAAAATTAGTTGGCAGCATTTAATTGGGTTTTCGTGCAGTCAGACCCAAGACAACCTGTCCATAATTAAGAAACACATGGGCCAATTGAGGAGGTCCAGTCCATAATCTGACCCTTACAATGCAACCCAGTTATCTCTATCTTACACCATACTGAGAGCGAAGGGAAACGGGCTAATTAACCTGATCGGTAAAGATAAAAGAGTTGAGTTTTTTTAAACCCAACAACTTTTTGTTTTTTTTTGAGGAATTTTAAACCCAACAACTTGTTTAGTAAGTATAAGTTTTCAAAACTTATAACCAAATTTGTTCAAGGTTTTTTTTTTCTTTTTTTCTTTTTACATTTAATAATGAGACAGATAAGAGTAATAAACTTTTTTAAAGTTTTTTTTTTTATCTAACTTAAAATTCAAACCTAAGATCTCAAAATTAAAGTATTAAGTAGTCTTTCACCGGAAATAAAGATGAGAAAAAAAAATTTGTTAATCCATAATAAATTTATAGGGCTTATTTTTTTAGTTTAGTTTTATTTATTGATTTATTTTGAATGGAAGTTTGATTCAAGCGAACTACAAATTTTAGTCTCCTCATATTAAATCCTGGCTCCATGATTGATAACATGACATGAATGTTATGAATGAATGGCATATACATCACTTCCGATTGTCCCGACCATAGCCTAAAGTGCTCCAAAAGCCTTTACTTGATTTATTATGGGGCATGAGAGAAAGGCATCAATTATTCAAACATTAAAAAGAAACATGCAGTAGACATTTTCAGGAACGTTAGCAAATATTGTCTGAGACGCAATCGACAATGAATGAGTATACTCCATGAATGATGCATTATCAACGGGAATCAGCATCTAGGATGTCTCTAAAGCTAATATAAAGTAGTGTTTGATTTGAATCAACTTGTTTTTGGAATATTGGACACCATGAACGACCCCATCAGACGAATCTGTGTCCTAAAAATTAACTAGTAATTTGACTTCAAAGGGCCAAAGAAAATAAAAGTTGATTGGCAAGGGGAATTTCTCAAATTGTGCACCATGAAATGAAATTTCCTTTTTGGAAATGGATATATTGGTTCCCCTATAATTAAAGAGCAAAAAGGAAAGAAAGGACTCGCTGAGTATTTATTACAATCAGACAGAAACAAAAGGTGGAAAAAAGTTTCAAGAATTCTTCTCCCCTCTTCCAATTCAACAAGGACCAAAAAAGCAAAAGGAAAATGGTAGCAGTTGTTTCTTTTTCTTCTTTTTTCTTTTTTATTGTTTTTTCTTTTTGTATAATGTAATTCAGTTCTCTTTCATGAAAATACGTACTAACTGCACTCGAACCATGATTGATGAGTGTATTTAAAAAAAAAAAATCAAAAGAAAAAATAAAGAAAAGAGGGGAGGGACCGATGATGTCTCGAATGCTTGTGCATTCAGCAGATGGCCAGTGCACATGGTTTTCTTCACTCTTTTATATATTTATTCGTCCTACATGTAAGCTGCTAGACTCAAAGTTACTTTTAATAAAAAATATTATCATTAGGTCTCTTAAGTTGTTTGAAAAAAAAAAAGCAGAGTAATTCGTATAAATAAAAATAATGGTAAAATTAATTATTCTATTGATATCAAATCATAAATCCTTTTACGGTGAAAAACAGTTTAATAAGCTGAAAAGTAATAAGCTGCCCCTTATAGTTCAACATTAAAACAAAGTAAGATCGAGATTCTCCCTTTTTCCATCACCATGCTGGTTGCTGATTAATTAGCATATTATTTCTTTAATGTTATTTAATTAGCATATGACTGATTAGATTTTTATCTAAAAAATATGATTGATGAGATTGCAATAATAGATTCATTGATTAAAAAATTCACCATAAGCCAAACAAAGCATTTATATTCATCAACACGTTTTCTTTTTTGGCGTGTACATGTATAAAACTTGGGATGACTATTTATGAGGTCTACATGCAACCAGTAAACGCAGGTTGTCTTCATCAATCGCCCCTAAGTTAGACAATTTTAGATTTGAACTTTGAGTCAAATGAAAGGGATTTAAGAGAGAAAATAGTTATTCTAATTATATAGTCTATAATCAAATATATATATATATATATATATATAAATTGTATATATGGATAATTAAGTATGTAAAATCATCTATTACTAAACATTACATAAACAATTGCTATAGGGGGAGCAAACAAATTTAGTAAGACTACCCAATTGTGTATCCAAAGTATACCAGAAGTCTCACATGATATTTCAGCTTTTTGAGAAAAATATTACCATGTCATTTATAGCTTATGCAAGTGCTCCAACTCATCCGTGCCCAATCAACCCTACATTTGTTCTATCTTTCTCCTTTACAAGTAAAACCTAATGAAAACACATTAAGAGAAATGAGGCAAATGCTCCCATAAGAGGGAGAAACTCTCTCACAAAGGGAAAAAAAATTCAAAGAGAGAAAATTTCACATTTATTCATGTTTTGTAATTAAAAGGGATAAAAAACAGTAACTTAGAATAAAGAGCAAAGGTGGTCGAGGAAGAGAGAGAAAGAGAGATGTGCAACTAGGGGTTAATCACAAAATATTTAGAGTTGAATAAAAATTATCAAATTTAGAAAGTCACAATAAGAACTTTGTTAAAAAAAAAAAAAAGAGAAATGTTATTAGGGCAACCATTTTATCTCACATTTTTGTATAACCTGACGTATCATTAAAATGATTGGTACTTTTAAGTCATGTGAGTTCTGTGATATTAAATGTATTCATTCATTTATTCATTTGATAACATGTAAAAGTTGTATAAAAAAATAAAACAAAAAGATTGTCTCAATTACACCACTTAAAAAAACATATATGGGTTTAACTTAACTTTCCAATTTTGTACTCTAAGTTAATAACAATTTTAATTTTATTAATAATAAAAATTTTAAATTTCTAACCTTTCATAAGCTAAAAATAAATTTTACAAGAGCTAAATATATATTTTATTTTATTTTATTTTTAAACATATAGGAAATTGAGGAGGATATGAATATCTAAACTTATATATATATATATATATAGTTGATGCTAAAAAATACTTAAATACTATATCAAAGATACATTTTAATTAACTGCTTCGCGTACACCTTCAAGTATAATATACTCGGCAAAAGGCATCCGTTTGCCCCTTGACTTTTCGAATTTGAGGGTTTTTACCCTCCATATTACAATACATGAATTTTTACCCTTCATATTTTTGAGTTTGAGGAAATGAGGCAAAATTTAACGGTGAAAAATCACGTGCGACACGTGCATGTTAATCTCCGTTATACCTTGACGTGTCAATGCCAACTCAAAATTCTTTTACATGTTGGCAAGTCTAGCTCAAATTTTATGATAATAACTAAATAATAATAATAATATAAAAAAAATCTTTTTTTTTTTTTTTTGTTTTTCCTTCTCCTTTCCTTTCTCTCTCCCTTGAAACCCAACAGAATTCTTTGC